ACTAAATATCGTTTCCATTTGGAGCAAAACTCATACTGTACGACATCAGTTGGCAGAATTAAATCATTAAAAAATTAATGAAAAAATAAATAGGTTGCATAGCATTAATTTTGTCTTTCACATGTTGCAAATATTGTTTTTTTCTTGCGAAATATAATAATAGATCTAGAGTATAACTTATAGGGCTTAATAAAATATATTCAGTGACATTAGAAGTGTTACACCCATAAAAATAATTTCTTCAACATGATTTTTTGGCAACGAGGTAGTCTTACATCAAGAATGAAACAATAACATTCTCACAAAATTTTATTGACAAGTAATAAGACTCAAAAACAATAACATGTTGGGCGACCCCGCAGCTGAATGCACTACTTACTGTATAAGAAATGAAACTCAGTGTGGTTTCGGTTCGAAACAATAGCAGGAACTTTATTGGATGAAAACAGGATGACAACAACGCTAGTTACATTTCATATTCAGTTTATAAGAAGTAAAATATAGCAAAATGTAAAGTCAGGAATGTTCTCACAAAGATAACACTTAACGCTGTAACTAGAAACCAGATGGACGGCGCTAATCACAAGGGCATCGGGACGGTGTTAGCCGTACCGTTGAAATGGTAATCATCAGGATTCCATAACTTATACCATACAACAGTGACTTCGAACTGTCACCCGATATGGTATTCCAACCTAAACTGTATCCATCGAAGAAACAAAGTAAAATCAAACATATACACCCGTATTGCACGTGATCAAGAACTTAACCGTAGGAGACGCTACAGGGCCGTATCAAGCTATTGTGACTGATCTATCAAAAAATGTCGTACAAGATATGTGTTGCTGTAAATTCTATCAAAAGCATAGTAAATTATCAGGAATATACCACGCTTTTCTAATCATATTTCGACATTAGGAGAATCAGTGCAAAAAATTCTGTATTCACCATTTCAGCAAAATGTTACTAAAACGCACACGAAAAAAACTTGTGGACCATCTCAATTGAAATTGTTCATATTTTATTATTAACTTACATATATACCCAACAATATTTACAAATCAGCCTTCTATTCACAATGAAGAGCAAATTTTTTTGAGCAAATAGAAACTACAGACGTAGTAGTAGTAGTACAAAAGTTTATTACAGACTCCATAAAGTTTGTTAGTTTGATTGCTATTAAAATTTACATGAGAAATAGGAAGAAGGTCAAAATGGCACTATTATGCTTTGGAACTCCTAAATTAACCTTAATTCTGTGTAATTATAAATTTGGAATTTCCACATTAATAACTAGAAACTTACACTTTGATTGCAGTCTATAATGAACTTACCTGTCTTGCCAAAAAGCCCGTTAAACTGCCAGTCTTAATGGTATCAATCGATTTATATGCTGTATACCGAGGAGCTTGAATCATCAGAATTGTTGATGTCAATTATAAGGGGTTCAATGATATTGTCCATATCCCACATTTTGGTTTCAACCTTCTCTTGGACATGGTCAATACATGTTCTCCATTTTGCTGGCGTAATTCTATCGACAGCAACATCAAACAGTTTTTTAAGGTCAGAAAACTTAAAAGTGCTGTTATTTGACGCCACGTATTGCTTGATGTCGGCCCAAATCAACTCGATAGGATTCAGTTCGCAGTGATAGGGAGGCAGCCTGAGAATCGTTTTATTTTGGTTTTTGGCCATTTCGTCAACAATTTTTAAATCATATTTATACTTATGTCGCTTGACTATATTTATCAGCTCAGCTTTGACCATTGTTTGGTCGAAGTCGATCTTCTTTGAGACAAGCCACTGTTGAATGTCTGCCTTTTTGGTGGCCATTGTTGGAATTTTTTCCAATTTTCTGGAGTGGTACGGGGCATTATCCATCACAATAATTGCGTTATTATCAAGTGTCGGCAAAAATTTTTTGAACCAATTTTCAAATGAGTTACCATCCATTTCTTCGTGATAGTCTCCAGTTTTTTTGGATTCAAATGCCCACAATGGTTCAGGAACAAATCCATCTACGCTACCTATGTGGCAAATGATCAGGCGTTTTCCCATGCCTGAAAGTAATTAGTTATTTTACTTTTCAGCGAGCGCACTAAATGACGAAATTAAGCAACTTACTCTTTTTACGTTAGTGTAGGATAGGGTCTTAGATTAGTTTTTGGGTGAAGGAAATACTCAGAAACTTGGATGAGATAGCAAAACTGAGTTCGGAGCTTCCAAATCATTGATTCGATCAGAAAATGAATTATCTGCATCCAAAAAAGTTCATATACTTCGAAACTTACCTGCAGGATTTTTCAATCCCGTCGAAAGGCCATCTAAAAAAGCCTGCCTTGAGGACCTCACAGATCTGTCTACCCAAACCTTTCCCTGCGTATGCCCCGCGTTCACCCATGTTTCGTCTAAATAATAAATTTTTCTTCCTTCAGCGCGGAATTGCCTAATTTTTCTAAGGTATTCTCTCCTCCAGATAACAATTTCCTCCTTTTCTATCAATAAACTATTCCATCCTGTTTTCAAAAATCGAAAGTCTAGTTCTTTCAACAGCTTATGGAACGTAGATCTTTTAAACTTTGGCAGGTCCTCATCATCATTCACTTGCTTCAATATTTTATCTGTTGTAGGTATTTCATTCCTGAAGAAAAAGTGATGTACTTTTCTTCTAATGGCACTTTTGTCAAAGTCATCTATTTTTTCGATGATTGTTTTTCTCGCTGGATATGTTTTTGGCTCAGATAGTGAGTGATTTTGTCTATATTCCTTCAAGATTTTGTAAACACTTGATCGACCTACTCCAGAAATTTCAGCAACCTTACATACGATATTTTCTATAGCCAATCCACTATTCTCTTGCATCTGGTTCTTGTAGATATTTAGAATAATTTGTTTTTCACCTGCGCTTTTTAGCCCTTTTTCTGGGTGACGTTAAGCTGATTTCAACCACTTCATCAGCTGTATCTGTGTCAGACATTTTAGACTAATATTAAATTTCTGCAAGAAAAATCAAGTCAAGACGTGCATAAAACGTTCGCGCTTATAAACGGGTATCCGTAACTGATTACAATCCTGTGCGTGGTGACGAACCATCAACGTGACGCTGAGAGTTCCCTCTACTATGCAGCGTTGCCAGGCTTAATGTCACAATGATCATGTTTTATTGGGAAAATTGTCAGAAATCGCCGAATGTTGAACAGAAACATTACAAGAAGTCTAACCTTGAAATGTGAGGCTACAAATCGATATTCTTATAGGGGGGAAGGGTAGGGAGCTGTTATGGTTCCTATTAACCTTGGTGAAAGTTGGAAACGGTAATATCATATATGGCATACATTCGGTTGAAGGTGTGTGCACGGAAAATAGATTGCGGATAGGATTTTAATAGATAAATCTGCACAAAAAAACACAAAAGGAGATTTTTGTATTTCCCTGAAGAATATCTCAAGGTTATTTCAGATGTACTCATCGAAACTTTATGGAAGGATTATCGAAACCTTATTTTCAATTGCGATAGGGCCACATACCTCGACATCGCATTAATGTGAAAAATAAGACAATAGAAAAAAATTCCCTCACTGATGCTATCTCTTAGGAAAAATTTAACTATAAAGATTGCACAAAAATTTTCTTCACCTTTTTGAGCTTGTTTTCGCATCTCCGTATATGCCGTTCATAATTTGCTGCAGCTCAAATTGGAATATACCTTTGTGATGCCATTTATTGTTATATAATGTCCTTTACAACAGTTATTGCACGTATTGCACCAACAGATTGATTTGTGATCCATGCGAATGTGATCAACCACTCTGGCGAAAACTCGCCGAGCGTGGCAACCGTGCGACTTTGTCTGGAGGCTCGTCGCTACAAGCCAATCAGGAAGAGGCCGACAGAGCGCCATGGCTACCGATCACGCGTTGATCACGAATCAACCACTGTTTACGATTACTTTGTAGCTTCGTTATATACACTTTAACCTATCAGACAACGCAACGTTGCCAAAACTAGTAACGTGCGATATTGCATAACACATTTTTTTCCGAAACTGATTTCCTTCAGACTAATCCGAAACGAATGCCCTATCATTTACCACTTCCACGTGATGAACGGATGGACAACTAAGTACTCGTATCTATAAAAGGTAAGCTTCGTTTCACATGTAATCTGAAGAATTAGTTCTGACATACTGGGGCAGGAGCTTATTTCTTCTGTCGATCTGGCTAAATAATAGATGGTTTCGTATGAATAAAAAACTTTATGAAACAAAAAAAACGGGGGAAAACCTATTACAATGTATTGAAGGTCATTAAACAGAAATTTGGTTAGATGAAATACTTGTTAGAAAAATTTGTAATATTATATACCAAGCTTACATATTAGTAAAAATTAACTTGACACGATTAGATGGGAATAAAATTACTAAAAAGTATATCGGTGGATACAGTCGTCGTTTTTGTTGTGCCACCAACGATGATCCACAAAATTTGCTCACTGATTCAAAAATTTCACCCAAAATATTCAACGATATCAATTATCACATAGGATACATTGCACTTACGCCAAAAACAATATTTAATTGTAATAACAACGGTATATAAATGTAAAACTCTACTACATATTTATAATATACTGGGTGAGTTTTTAGTGTTACAAAAATTGTAGCAAACGGTATGCTCCTAAATTGAAAAATATTTTTATTCATGGTGATTCCTAACATATATAATTTAAATGTAAAGCCCTACATTTTATTGTGAAATTGTCGAGATATTGGGCAATCTATTGAAAAAACACAACTTCAACATTTCGCATTTCCATGAATGTTATACGAGGGATGTCTTTTAAGTTTTGCATATAGAAACATAGTAGGCCGCGCGGATCGAACGTCAGCACTGAATATTAACTTCACTCTTTAGTAAACTTAAATTCAAAGTTTCACAACAATACGTGCAGTGTTCCCACTACAGTGAATTTTTAAGTAGCACCAAGCCATTAGAAAAATGGAACTCAACCGAGAACATTTTCGCGCCATAATTTATTACAACTTTCAGAGACAATTATCGCACCAAGAATGCCTCGCTGAGTTACTGTCTGTTTTCGGCAACGAAGCGCCACATCTGTCGACAATTTCCCGTAGACGGATGAGTCTTAGCGACGATCCCAGGGTGGGTGCACAAAAAACGGCGATGCTGTGCGCAAACTCATCATTGAAGATAGACATGTGACATATCGCGAGATTGAGGGGTCCTTGAAGATCCCAAAGACCTCAATTCAAAAAATGTTGCACGAAGAATTAGGAGTAAGAAAATTAGTTTCTCGTTGGATACCCCACCTGTTGACTGAAGAGCAGAAAGCAGCCGGGGTTGATTGGTGTCAAAAAACGCTTGACCGTTTCAACTCCGGAAAACTCAAAAAACGTGTACAGCATTGTTAGTGGTGATGAATCGTGGATTTACTGTTATGAACCAGAAAATAAACGACAGTCGGCTGTTTGGGTGATCCAAGGTGAAGAAAAGCCAACAAAAGTCATCCGTTCTCGAAGTGTTTCGAAAAAGATGTTCGCGACATTTGTGTCAAAAGCGGGTCATATTGCAACAATTCCTCTTAATGAGCAAAGAACTGTTACTGCGGATTGGTATACCACCATTTGTTTGCCAAAAGTCATCACCGAGCTTCGAAAAATCAACCCCGAAAGAAGAATCATCCTCCACCAAGACAATGCAAGGTCGCACACAGCCCAAAAAACAAGGCACTATTTAACGGAAGAAAACGTGGAATTATTGGACCATCCTCCATATAGTCCCGATCTAAGTCCTAACGATTTCTTTACTTTTCCGAAAATTAAAAACAGGCTGCGTGGTCAAAGGTTCCAGTCACCAGAAGAAGCAGTTGACGCATTCAAAAATGGCATTTTGGATCTGCCAGCAAACGAGTGGAATAAGTGCTTCGACAATTGATTCGAGCGTATGCAGATGTGTATTAATCTTCGTGGAGAATACTTCGAAAAACAATAAAGTCATTTAAAACTACCTAGCGTGTTGTTTTATTTCCATATGCAAAACTTAAAAGACATCCCTCGTAGCTATAGTACTGATTTTTTTTAAAAAAACATGTATGATCAGTTATTTTGTAACTATCAATTTTCTTGTTCAGTTTCTTGGACTTTTCGAATTTTTCAAATACTGTACCCGTATATTTTCACATTTTTTTATTCCCCTTTTCACGAGCTCTTTCTCTGTTACAAGGTTTCGTGGGAGGTAACGCAGAGACACCTTCTGACATTATTGCACGAGGCTACGTTGATTTAATTTATAATAAAAATACATCGATGTCCTTCAAAAAACTATTAGCTGAAACTCAAAAATAGATTGCAGAAAAAGGTAAGAGACAGCGGAATCGGAGAATATAAAAATTATACAGGAGGTTCCATTTAAAAATTTCGAGAAATCTTTCATTTTACATTCATGACCACCTTGAATAAGCCGTCGAAAAACCTGAAAAAGTAGTAGGGTAAAGTCGCCTAATATGAGACCGTTCCTAATATGAGACCCTAGATGATCGTCTCTGTAGAGTCCTGTAAGCCCACATTCATATGATTTACAGGTTACTACTGGTATAGTACGGGCCCTCTCCTCTAGATGGCGCAATATTTCATTTAACAGCTGTTTAATGCGAGATTTGTTAAAATTTGTACTGTGAAGTTTTTTACCGTTTTCCCTTTATATATTTACTTTAACATCACGGTAAGTATATTTTGGTTTGTAATATGATTTGTATGTAGTACAACAAATGTAGTCTTATTCCCACCTTTTCTTTATCCATTCGAAATACAACAAACTAACCTATAAATTTTTTTTCTAAATGTGTTGTTGGTTCCAAATATGAGACCCTCTGGGGTTCCCATTATGAGGAGGGTCTCATATTAGGACCCCGATATTTATATAGAATTTTTTCAGGGGAGTTCTTCTAAACGTCGCAAACAATGGAACAAGGGGCAAATGGTGTTGGCGATTAAAGCAGTTCGAACTCATGTCATGGGTTACAAGACAGCGGCGAAACATTTTCAAGTACCGAAAGGTACCCTTGAACGTTATGTTAAAAACATTAATTTTTCTCCTGAAGAACTCGTTCGTACAACACTTGGTAGAAAACCTGCTTTAGGAAAAGCTATCGAGGATGAGCTAGTTCGATACTGTCTCGATATGGATAATAGGTTTTTTGGTCTGCGAAGATCTGATGTAAAACGCATGGCCTTCGAGTTGGCAATTGCTAATAATATCCAGCACCCATTTTCACAGGAAAAAGGCGTTGCAGGAAAAAAATGGCTTAGAGGATTTTTCAAACGTAATCCCCAGCTGTCTGTTAGGTCACCTCAAGGCATGTCCAATGCCAGAATACGGGGATTCAATCAAGAAAGCGTTGCTTCATTCTTCGATTTGTACGAAAAGGAATTATCGAAAATCAATTTTGCACCACAAAGGTTGTTTAACGTGGATGAGACAGGGATTAGTGTGGTGCAACATAAAAGAAGTAAGGTCATTTCTGCTAAAGGTAAAAAGCAAGTAGCAACACTTACATCAGCTGAAAGGGGAGGCCTTATTACAGTGGTGACATGCATGAATGCCGTAGGAACTTACGTACCGCCTTTAATTGTGTGGCCTAGAAAAAATATGAAAATTGAATTGATGGACGGTGCGCCAACCGGTTCCATTTACGCATGTCACCCTTCTGGATGGATTCAAGCCGAAATATTTACACAATGGTTTGACCATTTTATTAAATTCACAAAGCCAACACCATCAGATCCTGTGTTATTGGTGCTCGATGGACACTACTCCCATACGCGTAACATAGACGTAATAAATAAAGCTAGAGAAAACCACGTATCAATTGTTTGCCTACCTCCCCACAGCACACATCGCATGCAACCGTTGGATGTAGGATTCATGGGGCCTCTGAAAACGTACTATGCTCAGGAAATTGAGACTTGGCTGCGAAACAACCCTGATCGTATTGTCACGCCATTTATCATTGCAAGACTATTTTCAGTTGCATATAACAGAGCAGCCACTATGGAGGTTTCGGTGAACTCGTTTAGAACAACGGGACTATTTCCGCTTAATAGAAATCTTTTCCGAGATCATGATTTCTCAGTGTTCGAAGTTGAGGAGAAATTAACAGTCCCTGAAGATACTGTAAGTCGTCCTCCACCGGAATCTTCCACAGAATCTAGAAACATTGAATATACTTCAGGAAAATCAGAAGGTATCAGTTGCATTAAAACAGCTTTAGATAATCCCCGTCCAGGAACTTCCAAAGATTCTAGCGATATTGAGGATGCCGCAGATGATCCACGGCCGGGAAATTCAAAAGAGTCCAATGATCAGGGGGCTGTAAATAGTTCTCGTAAAGCCGTCAAATACCTTTCAGAACCTACAAAGCTTGTCAGTCCAGTACAGATAAAACCTCTTCCCAAAATAAAGAGCAAGAAGCCCAGTGCTCGTGCAGGCAGTGCAGCATTGATTACCTCATCTCCTTACAAAGATGATTTAACAGAAAGTTTGGATAAGAAACGTAAAAAGGAAGATTCCGCAAAACATAGCAAAGTTACATCAGTTACAAAGAAGGTTAAGTTTGACGATGCAAGGGAAGCAAAGTTTCGCAAACCAAAAAGTACTAAACGGTTTAAAAAGAAGAGGGCCGATTTAAGTGACAGCTCAACTGATGAAAGCGATGACTTGGGAGAAGTTGTTGTTGATGATGAGAGTGATGGTGACGAAAATTATGACGCAGAATGCCTCTTCTGCACAAGCATGTATTCTGCAGACAAGCATGGTGAACAGTGGGTTAGGTGTACAGTGTGCTACAGATGGGCCCATGAAGATTTTGGTGCAGAAGATCCTATCTTTGTGTGCCCAATGTGTGAAAAAAGACAGAAAAAGTAACTATATAATGTATTTTTATGGTCTATTTACTCTAAATAATGTTATTTGGAAAGAAATTTATAGGGTCTCATATTAGGAACCCAATTTTTTTTAGTTACTTTTTACATTTTATGAGTATTGTAGCTTTATTTGAAAAAATAAATAAAAAAGTACATTTTCGTTCCGTGTTTTTTAAAGCATAAACCCTTACCAATAAAACAAATCAGTAATAACTTAAAATTTGTTATTTTTACAGAAATTATAGATGTTTTCCAAAATGGGTCTCATATTAGGCGACTTTACCTTACGTGATAAAATTTTTCTGACGAAAAAATCAGTAGATATACTAGTTGCGGAGTTGTAAGTTGTCAAAGTTGAGTGTGTTTTCCGATAGTTTGCACAATACGTGAATAGTTTGAAAATAAAAGTATTTATATAGTATGACATATCAAATTGCTCAGCTTGGAACGGCCTATCCAAACCTGTAATAAAATGGTGTTTCCATTTGAAAAAAATGTATGTATTGATCACCGCGTAGTTATGAATCAGCCTATAGAGATGGAAATATTTTTCAAGTAAGGAGCATACTGTTGACTATGATATTTGTAATTACTTTTGTAGTTATCGACCGAGCCCACACTAAAAACTCACCCTTTATGTATGAATAACCAACATAAAAATAACTTATAATCTATAAAAAATAAAAAGTAGTATTGCACGACGCACAAAATTGCACATAATATCACTATTTGTTGTAAAACTAAACTATACTCAGCCACCCTTGGGTAAAAATTCTCTATATTAGTAGCATCACAAACATCTATAAAATTTACAAGAGTAGATAATAAACCCTAGATTAGCGTTCATCGTCACTGTGTAACATGGGGGTCAAAACGGCATTTTTTTAGAGAAACGCGACTTTAAAGTAAAATAAATCTAACAACTCCGCAAAACTATGCAAAAGGATAACTAACCACTGTTACCGTTTGCGATCGATTGCCGGTTCGATAACAGTGATGATGACCGACGCGCTGTTGTCAAGTGTGTTTTAAATATTCAATTTAATGAAACTTACTTTTTTACTGACTACAAATTTTGCCTCAACTTAGAAAAACTTAATGCCATTTATTTGTTAATTACCCAATTTAAAAACGTTTTAGATTAGATTATAAAAATTAGTAAGATTGTGGTCGATATAAAGCACTTAAAGTTGTAAACTATAAAGCCATTTAGACAAAAATCTATTGACTTTTGGACCATGGGTCACACGAACTATTTGACTTGTTTTTTACCCGCCCCTATTACCCATTTCACTAATGACTACCATAACGTTTACACCCTGTATAATGTTTCAATCGAGATGATAAGAATAAGGTTTTATTTTAAACATCTGCCAATATTCCTCATTTTTCTTTATAACTAAAGAATTATACGTTATTAGTAATAACATTTAAAACCTTGTGATATACGTATCACGGTGATGATTATTATTAGATAAATTTTGTAGCCAAGGGTGGTGAAACATTAAAATCATTTAGAAACTATATTAATAAATAGGTACCATAAATATTCCGTTGAATGTGTTAAAAAAATATTGCACAATAAATATTTGGTAAATGGACGAGAAATGTAAAAAATAAATTTGCTTTCGAATAATACCGTTGGCAACATGTTACACGATGTATAAGTAAAATGCGACTGTTTATTTACAAACACGTGCGGCGCAACAGACGTTGCGTGTCTCGTCGTCGCCGTCTTTGTCGTTCGCCGGCTTGGCAAGTGCAGCTGCAGTTTCGCCGGTGGCGATCTTATCAAAGAACACCGAGTGAGTTTCGATACTCTCGGCACCCGATTCGCTGGTGCAGCCGTCATCTTCGAAACTCCCTTCGGTGTCTTCTTCGCTAATCGAACAGCTGGTCCGCCGCCACGATACGCCGCCGCACGTCTGTGCCGCATCACCCTTTTCCTCACCGGCTGCCGTTGCGATTTCTTCACCTCCGCTGAGATACCCGGAATCCTCCTTACTTCCCGCTGCCGTCATTTTCGCAAATTCCGTCGATGCTCCTATCCTTATCGCCCTTCTAGCCGCATCGCTGCGCCCGTTTCGGTTCTTTGACAGAGCCATCGAAACCTACAAGAAACATTACACTTACTCAAATTTATATATATTATTGGGGCATTTATTTATATATTTATTTAAATATCCGGTGTTCTATTTAACAAAATGGATATTATATGGAACAGTCTCGTATGAAAAGAATTTTAAAATATTCACACCGGTAACATATCAAGGTCGGCACGAAAACAGATTTTGATATCTTTTCCAGTTTACTCACAAATGTACTGTCTATTTTCGTTGGGACGCCCTGTACAATATTAACATTATTAACGGTGATTATAAGTATGTGCGAAAAGAGATACCAACAATAGCAGCAGAAGTACCGTACCTGGCAGAGGTGCAGTACGTATTCGTCATCGTTTTGCTTGGTAAGTATGACGTCCATTGCATTGTCGATAGAATCGTGGGTGGTATCCTGACGAACAGCAACATTTCCGTCAGTTTTCGGGCGGTGGCGTCGTTGCAACAGACACAGCTCGAAATCTGCTAGTGACGATGATGCACCACTTGCACCAGTTGCAGGAGTGCCGCTGCCTGCGTTCTTCTCGCTGTTACCATCGTTGCTGCCGATGCATCTGTTGTTCGCAGCACTCCTGCAATTGCCGTTTTTTGGAATCGATCTCGATACCATCGACGAATCTGGAACCGTTTTCTTTTTCACTTTTTTATTTATTCAACGAAACATTAGACCATCGTCAAGTTTATACAAAAAAATGCCGTCAAATAAGTTGATCAGTTCATAAATGATTATGTTCCTACGAACATGTATTGTTATACATAACATCATATATTATGCTATACAGGGTGTAAACGTTACGGTAGTCATTATTGAAATGGGTAACATAACATAACATAACAAGTCAAAAAGTTCATACAACCTATGGTCTAAGAGTCAATGAATTTTTGTCTAAATGGCTTTATAGTTTACAACTTTAAGTGTTTTATATCGACCACAATCTTACTAATTTTTATAATCTAATCAAAAACGTTTTTAAAATGGGTAATTAACAAATAAACGGCATTAACTCTTTTTAAGTTAAGCCAAAATTTGTAGTCGGTAAGTTTCATTAAATTGGATATTTAAAACACACATGACAACAGCGCGTCGGTCATCATCACTCTTATCGAACCGGCAATCGATCGCAAACGGTAACAGTGGTTAGTTATTGTTCGCGTACGTCGTCGTGTTTATTTACAATGTTCTCGAATCAAGCGTTCGCCAACATGTTGTTAGTTTACGGTGAAGCTCGTCAGAATACAAATCTTCTAACACATCCTAGCGACGGACGAATGTATTTTTACGCGAGACTAGATATTAAATTTCCATAATACTCACACGTGGGCCCAAGAAAATCCTCATATCATTCGTGAAGGTCATTTCCAACAACGTTTTAAAATAAATATTCGGGCGGGTATTCTTGACGATCATGTAATTGGCCCTTTCGAGTTGCCCCCAAAGTTGTCAGGAGAAGGATACCTTAGCTTTCTAACCAATAACCCACCAGAGCTCTTGAAACAGATCTTAGACAACATGCCATTACAACGGAGACAGAATTTGTAGTTTCTTCATGACGGGGCACTACCACACATTTTTAGAGGCGTCATTCAGTATTTGAATGAACATTATCCAAATCGCTGGATCGGTCGAAATGCTCCTGATCCTCGAAAATGGCGAGCAAGATCTCCTGACGTCAATCCCATGGATTTCTGGTATTAGGGAGAACTTAAAGGGCTGGATTATGGGGCTGGTCCAAGTGAAGCACAACTTCGGGAAAAAAAATTAATGCGGCTGAAATAATAAATGGACAACTTCGAGGCCATACGAGGGTGGTTCCAGAAGTACACGGCCTGACCTAGAGATGGCAATAGTTGTTTGAAAAATATCATTGTATCAGAAAGTATGCAAACTATAAAGCATATGTGTCAAGTTTGAAGACGCCACGTTGTTTAGTATTTGTTTGGCAGCCATCAATACTGAACGTTTTGTGAAAATGGAGAAAATTGGTCATCGTTATGTGGTACAATACTTTTATTTCAAAGGCTTCAGCCCAACCAATATAAAAGCTGAACTAGATTCTACTCTGGGTGAGTCTGCTCCTTCGTTTACAACAGTAAAATATTGGGTAGTAGAGTGTAAACGAGGTCGTATGAGCTGCCAAGACGAGCATCGCAGTGGTGGACCAAATGAGGTGATGACTCCAGAAATGGTGAAGAACATTCACAAAGCGGTACTGAATGATCGTCGACTGAAAGTGCGCGAGCTAGCAGACATAGTAGGCATTTCAAAAAGTGCGGTTCATCGCATATCATCTGAAAATTTGGACATGAGAAAGCTGAGATGAGATGGGTGCCACGATTGCTCACAATCAAGCAAAAACATTATTATATCAAATAATGAAATAATACCTAAGAGCCAAAAATAGCAACTCCATCATTGCGGCGTCGTCAGATTTTATTTTTTTTAAAAAATGCCGATTTGACCCCCATGTTATATGAAACTTTTTACTTCTTTCAACCCACTCTGTCACCCATTTAAATAATGACTACCATAACGTTTACACCCTGTATAAAAATCAAGATATACCCTACCCCAGCCACGGAATTACAATCACTACAATTTTTTTTTTTTTTGAAAATGATCAGGAACGTCTGAAACGTCAAAGGATGAAGTTTGAGCGATTCTTTGAGTTCCAAAATGCGCTCAACCATCATTTTGACGTTGTGAAATGACACTGTTACGCTGAAAATATAGAATCCACCATTAATTTTACCATTCCGAATTTTAGTTTGCTAACATGACCTGTACAAAAAACATTTGAAAAACAGTGTGTGTATGTTCTAAATTAAATCAATGTGTACAAACCTTGCGTTCCATTACATGTCGTGGAATTCGCGTAAGAGACATCCGGGGACGAGGGCGCGAGAGGCGGCGGGATAACATCCGGTTGGACGAGAGTATGTTTCGCCCTTTGCCTTTTCGAATGTCTCTCCTCTAAGGTTAGAATTCTACCTTTTTCATCACCAACGCTCTCGACGAAACCATCTATGAAATTGTACAACATGCCCGTCGTTTGTTTCGTCGATGTCTCGTCTTCTTGCTGTTGCTGCTGCTGCTGCTGCTGCTGTTTACCGGTGCCTTTCATTTTCGCTTCGTAGATATCCCTCAAACTACCGAACACCCTTGTAAAATTCCCTGTAAACATATAATGCCTCAAACTAACTACAACCAATATACCTGGTATTTCAAATTGAAGCCTCACCATTGAAATCTCTGAAATGAAACGAAATACGAAGATGGCTAAATGCGGGAGCATTTCTACATAACTAAGAAAATGACACTGGAAAGTTTTGCAGTTCCGAGTATGTCCAGAGAAAAACAAAAGACACGTTCTTTTTTTCGTGGAACGTTCATTTGATTTCGAAGAATTTTTTGTACTTTTCGATAGGAAACCAAATTTGAAATTGAAAGAAAAACGGAGGTTCTAAACCGGAAGCAAGCATTTCAAACAAAAACTTGGGCTACTTCGCATATTTGTCTTCGTTTTTTTTTATTCCAAAATATCCAAGCCCCTTCCACTTCAGTTGGCCCAACTATTGAAATCTTAGTTTTTTTCTTATCAAACAAAAATAATCAAAATGTAGCAGGGTGTTATAGGTTTAAAATATTAACAATGAAGATATAACGTAACTGGTTCAGTAAATATTAAGCCACGATATGTGAAAAAAAGTAATATCACAAATGCCGACCGAAGAGCATTAAGAAGAATAATCGTGAAAAACAGGCGTGCCAATTATATATTTACAATTGAGTGCTCTGTGGAGTGACGCTGTTGGAAGGAGAATTTCGAGGTCCACAACTCATTGAGAGGCCCACAAACTGGGATTTAGCACTTGCAAGGTAAGTTTTCTTATAAAAAAAAGTGAAGTAAAAACCTTAAAGTTGCACTACTTGTTTACAGGCCAAAGAAAAGCCACTATTAACTCCACTGCAAAAGAAAAATCGGCTTAAATGGGCTAAAGAATATAGACAATAGACACCTCAACAATAGTGTGCAATACAATGGAGTGATGAGGCCCGATTCGAAGTTTGTGTTGGTACCAGTCGCAGTAGAGTTATTCGCAAAAAAATGAAGCATTCCATGTTGACTGTCTGAAGAGAAAAGTGAAATTTCCAGCATCCATTATGGTCTGGGGCAGTATGTCATCAAAAGGAGTAGGAAAACTTCACTTTATTGATGGAAATGTGGATACAAACAAATATTTGTCAATTTTAGAAGAATCGCTTTTACCAGTGATGGAAGAATGTTTGACATCCGGCCAAGATTTTGTGTTTCAGCAAGATGGTGCAGCGTGCCATACCTCAAAAAAGGCTATAAAATGGATGGAATAAAATAATGTACCGCTTTTGAAATGGGTTTCTAGCAGTCCAGATCTGTCACCTATTGAAACTTTGTGGCACGAGATGAAAAAGGTTCTACGACAACGTCCTGCTCGTACAGTCACCGAACTGAGACAAAAGCTTCAAGAAATATGAAATTGTTTTACACCAAATTTTTGCCAAAAGTTGGTTAACACTATGCCTCAAAGAATTTCAGCCGTAATAAAAAATAAAAGTGATGTTACCCAATGGTAATCTTTCAATTGTTGCTTTGTTAACTTCGCGCATTTATTCGCACATTGTTTATTTGTTCAGATGTTCTATCAGTTATAGGTCTAAGTGACTTCAAATATGTATTGTTTACGACTAAGTGTATCTAAAATGTTTTTGAGAAAATAAATTGTTTTAGAAGTAAATAGTTTCGTCATGTTTAGTTTATAAAGGCATATTTTGGTACAAATCTTGAAGTTGGCCAACTGAAGTGGGAAGGGGCTCGTAGGCTAAAGTGTGTTTGAAATACATGACAAGTTTTGAGATTGTATGCGCATTAATTAAGAGGGTACGTATTGTTATGTACATACATGTCGCTTCGGGTATGACGTTAGGCGCTTATACAGGGTGTCCGCAAAGTTGGGGTTTTCCTTTTCAGAAACAACTACCCTTGAAATAATAAAGGTAATGTGTAGTGAAACGAGGGCGACCAAGTAAAAAAAATAAAGGAAAAAGTACTCACTCTCCACTTGACGAGAAGGGCTAAGTACGTCTCTGCCCGAAATCATACCGCTCCATCAGAAAATGAAATCATCTGATGCGCTACCGAGCAGACGCAGGCAAACAAGGAAGGCAAAATGTTGCGTAAAAAGTCTAGGTCTAGGTTCACCATGCCAGCCCAAACATTCACCGAAAATGTTTGTTGAAAATGTGCCCGACGGACAGCGTGCGGATTTTCTACTGACCAAACATGAGTGTTGCGAAAGTTATTCACCCCATTACGCGTAAACGTAGATTCGTCTGTCACCAATATGTACTTCAAAAAGTCCGGATTATTGTCATGTTGATGCAACAACCACTCACAAAACCGCACTCTTGCTGGAAAATCGTCAGGTTGAAGGGCTTGTACACGTTGGACGTGAACGGATACAGCCCCTCTTCACGCAGCGTTTGCCACACTTTAGTTTTTGATACTTGCACTTCTCTAGGCACGTCTCTAGTGCTTGTTGAGCGATTCTCGTCTACGCGATTACCTCTACACGCGTGACCGTAACCGTCGGTTGAAGATTGCATACTGACCTGACACACTGACCCCGACCCACTTGTACCAGTCGGTGATATCGCGGGTCGCGGCTACAGGACGGTATTCAGATATTTTTGATGTTGCAGAGCCCTTTATCTCGGTTCCCTTAAACCGGTGTGAAGTTGGCAGACAAAATTTAGCGGACAATTTGCCGAAGATACCCGAATGACCAGTGGCGTCGACATCCTCGATCAGACTGTGATTGTGAAGGATACAGCTAACAGCTCGCAACAATAAATATATATATATGCACGAGAATAAGCACCCCTATAGGAAGAATCATTTTCCACCCTAATTAAATAATTGGTAGGAACAAGAGTTAACCCACAACCTTTCTTCGAGTTTTCACTTACCGATTACTGTATTGAAAGTAATTAATGAGCTAAATAGCATATACTGAGAAAATCTCTAAAGGGGTGCTAGATGAAAAAATATAAATAAAACTTCATTTTCACCCCCAAAAAAATGATTCCACAAAATGATTTATATCTCAAAAAAATACTCTATAACAGAGACAATTCATGGGCTAGGTGGCATGGTGTGAGAAAGCTTCTGAAAGGCTGGCAGATAAAAAAATATGCTAAAAAATTCATTTTCACCCCCAAGGAAATGATTCCCCAAAATCAGTTGTACCTCAAAGAAATAGTCTATTATAGAGACAATTTATAGGCTAGGTGGCATGGTGTGAGAAAGCTTCTGAAACGCTTGCAGATAAAAAAATATGCTAAAAAATTCATTTTCACCCCCAAGGAAATGATTCGCCAAAATCAGTTGTACCTCAAAGAAATACTCTATTATAGAGACAATTTATAGGCTAGGTGGCATGGTGTGAGAAAGCTTCTGAAAGGCTGGCAGATAAAAAAATACGCTAAAAAATTCATTTTCACCGCCAAGGAAATGATTCCCCAAAATCAGTTGTACCTCAAAAAAATACCCTATTATAGAGACAATTTATAGGCTAGGTGGCAGGGTGTGAGAAAGCTTCTGAAACGCTGGCAGATAAAAAAATATGCTAAAAAATTCATTTTCACCCCCAAGGAAATGAATCCCCAAAATCAGTTGTACCTCAAAGAAATACTCTATTATAGAGACAATTTATAGGCTAGGTGACATGGTGTGAGAAAGCTTCTGAAAGGCTGGCAGATAAAAAAATATGCAAAAAAATTCATTTTCAGCCCCAAGGAAATGATTCCCCAAAATCAGTTGTACCTCAAAAAAATACTCCATTACAGAGACTACTCATAGGCTTGATGACATGGTGTGAGAAAGCTTCTGAAAGGCTGGCAGATAAAAAAATATGCTAAAAAATTAATTTTCACCCCCAAGGAAATGAGTCCCCAAAATCAGTTGTACCTCAAAGAAATACTCTATTATAGAGACAATTTATAGGCTAGGTGGCATGGTGTGAGAAAGCTTCTGAAACGCTGGCAGATAAAAAAATATGCTAAAAAATTCATTTTCACCCCCAAGGAAATGAATCCCCAAAATCAGTTGTACCTCAAAGAAATACTCTATTATAGAGACAATTTATAGGCTAGGTGGCATGGTGTGAGAAAGCTTCTGAAACGCTGGCAGATAAAAAAATATGCTAAAAAATTCATTTTCACCCCCAAGGAAATGAATCCCCAAAATCAGTTGTACCTCAAAGAAATACTCTATTATAGAGACAATTTATAGGCTAGGTGGCATGGTGTGAGAATGCTTCTGAAACGCTGGCAGATAAAAAAATATGCTAAAAAATTCATTTTCACCCCCAAGGAAATGAATCCCCAAAATCAGTTGTACCTCAAAGAAATACTCTATTATAGAGACAATTTATAGGCTAGGTGACATGGTGTGAGAAAGCTTCTGAAAGGCTGGCAGATAAAAAAATATGCTAAAAAATTAATTTTCACCCCCAAGGAAATGAATCCCCAAAATCAGTTGTACCTCAAAGAAATACTCTATTATAGAGACAATTTATAGGCTAGGTGGCATGGTGTGAGAAAGCTTCTGAAACGCTGGCAGATAAAAAAATATGCTAAAAAATTCATTTTCACCCCCAAGGAAATGAATCCCCAAAATCAGTTGTACCTCAAAGAAATACTCTATTATAGAGACAATTTATAGGCTAGGTGACATGGTGTGAGAAAGCTTCTGAAAGGCTGGCAGATAAAAAAATATGCTAAAAAATTCATTTTCACCCCCAAGGAAATGATTCCCCAAAATCAGTTGTACCTCAAAAGAATACCCTATTATAGAGACAATTTATAGGCTAGGTGACATGGTGTGAGAAAGCTTCTGAAAGGCTGGCAGATAAAAAAATATGCAAAAAAATTCATTTTCACCCCCAAGGAAATGATTCCCCAAAATCAGTTGTACCTCAAAAAAATACTCTATTACAGAGACTACTTATAGGCTGGATGACATGGTGTGAGAAAGCTTCTGAAAGGCTGGCAGATAAAAAAATATGCTAAAAAATTCATTTTCAC